AATTAAAAAAATTAATCGTGATTAATCGCACTGTTAAACAATAATAGAATACCATGTATTTAAATATTTGTGGATGTTTTCTACATTTTCAAATATATTGATTTCAATTACAACACAGAATACAAAATGTACAGTGCACACTTTATTTTTTATCACAAGTATTTGCACTGTAAAAAAACAAATGAAATAGTATTTTTCAATTCACCTAATACAAGTACTGCAAAATGTTAAAGGCTGCAAGTCCACTCAGTCCTACTTCTTGTTCAGCCAATCGCTCAGACCAGGGGTTCTCAAACTTCCTTGAACCATGACCCCCTTCTGACAACAAAAATTACTATGTGACCCTAGGCAGGGGTAGTAGGGGAGGGGGCCCAGCCCAAACCCTGCTGCCCCAGGCTAAAGCACTCAGGTTTTGGCTTCAGCCCCGAGTCCCAGTGAGTCTAATACTGGCCCTGGCGACCCCATTAAAATGGGGTCCCAACCCACAGTTTGAGTACCCCTGGCTCAGACAAACAAGTTTGTTTATTTGCAGGAGATAATGCTGCCTGCTTCTTGTTTATAATGTCACCTGAAAGTGAGAACAGGCATTCTCATGGCACTGTCCTAGCTGGCATCGCAAAATATTTACATGCCAGATGCACTAAAGATTCATATGTCCCTTCATGCTTCAACCACCATTCCAGGGGGCGTGTCTATGCGGATGACGGGTTGTGCTCAAGAACAATCCAAAGCAGTGTGGACTGACGCATGTTCATTTTCATTATCTGAATCAGATGCCACCAGCAGGTTGATTTTCTTTTTTGGTGGTTCAGGTTCTGTAGTTTCCACATCTGAGTGTTGCTCTTTTAAGACTTCTGAAAGCATGCTCCACACCTCGTCCCTCTCAGATTTTGGAAGGCACTTCAGATTCTTAAACCTTAGGTCGAGTGCTGTAGCTATCTTTCAAAATTTCACATTGGTATCTTTTGTGTTTTGTCAAATCTGCAGTGAAAGTGTTCTTAAAATGAACAACATGTGCTGGGTCATCATCAGAGATTGCTATAACACGAAATACATGGCAAAATGAAGATAAAACAGAGCAGGGGACATACAATTTTCCTCCAAGGAGTTCAGTCACAAATTTAATTAACGCTTTTTTTTTTTTTAAACAAGCGTCATCAGCATGGAAGCATGACCTCTGGAATGGTGGCCGAAGCATGAAGGGACATACGAATGTTTAGCATATCTGGCATGTAAATAACTTGCAAAATGCCATGCAAATACCTATTCTCACTTTCTGGTGACATTGTAAAGAAGAAGAGGGCAGCATTATATCCTGTAGATGTAAACAAATTTGTTTGGCTTAGGGATTGGCTGAACAAGAAGCAGGACTTCTAACTTCAATTACAACGCAGAATACAATATATGAGAATGTAGAAAAACATCCAAAATATTTAATAAATTTCAATCGGTATTCTATTGTTTAACAGTGCGATTAAAACTGCAATTAATCATGATTTTTAAAATTGTGATTAATTTATTTTAATCATGTGAGTTAACTGCAATTAATCGGCAGCCCTATTAAAAACATATTTTGGCTTCTGCATATTCACTGCTTACTAATCTCTCTCTTCACTCTTGGAAAACCACTTCTAAATTAAGCGTACTCCAGCAACAATTTACACATTAAATTTTTACACAAATTTAAGAAACCCCCCATTTTCCTTCTTAAAAGGTCCTACTGAACATGAAATAATTGGATATTGAGTTCACTGTAGCTTTTATGAGCAGTCTGCTACATGTAATCCTTATGCAATCACAGACCCAGTAGCCATTGAGGTTGAGATTTTCAAAGCATCTTCCTTCAGTTAATGGAGGATGTGTGTTTAAATTGGCTAGACTGCTTTAGAAATCTCAACCTATGACTATGTAAAGGGCTGATTTAGTTAATGTTTGTACAGTACTTGGTATGTGTAAAATGCTACATAAATGTTTAATATAAATGTTGTCTGATTATATTTATTTTTTCATTGAGAACTTCATATTCATTAATGAATTTATCCTCACAATACTCCTGATAAGGAAAAAAAATTATCTATATTTTACAGGTGTGGATCTGAAACACAGAAATATTAAGTGGCTGGCCCAAACACATAGAAAGTCTGTAGCAATATCAAGAACCCTTATCTCCTGAATATCAGTCCTCTTCTCACCACTGTCTTAATCTCAGCCTGCCCTTCCTCTAATAAAATTAGTAATTAATCTTCAGAACACCCTTGGGAGGTAGGTATGCATGATCATCCACATTTTACAGATTAGGTAGGAGACAATTACAAATTAACACACAACAAATGTAAAACTCAGTTTTGAAAATAAAATTTCTCCCCCCACAGCTAGATAACAGAAAGACATCTTTGGCAAAATTATTTTATAAGTGCCTAAATCACCCATCACAGTAATACCCAGATTTTCTTACATACATGTCCAGTAGATGGAATGAGCCCTAACAGCTCTCCCTTCTCTCCTTCCATCCAACTTCTCAAAAGGGTCATTGAGAAGATCCATAAATGAGATGGTGGAATTGTTCTGAAGAATGTCAGAATAATTTCCGGTAGAAACATGTACCATATCCACTGACTCTCCACCCCAACACTCTTGCTGTTGCCAGGTGGTGTTTTCTGTTAGTTCAAATATCCTCATTAAAGGCAGCTATTATTCTGGGGTATGGAGTGAGAAACAGTCCCCGAAATGGCAGGTTCACGGCCTATTCAAGGATTTGTATATGACCCCAAACTGGACAGTCAATAGACAACTACAGATCACACATTATACTAGCAGTAACTGTGCAGGAGAAAGGCATTCTTGGTGGAGGTACTATGGCTATGAAATGAGCTTCTGTCAGATCACCTTTATGGCCAGCTCCAAGTAAAACATGAGGTAACAGACATTGTGGCTAGAACCCCATATGACAGTAAACAATGCCATCTCCAGATCAACTGGAGACAGAGGGGGAAAAAAAAAAAAAGCATTATTTGCTACTTGTGTTTGGGACTAGCTCAGCAGCACCCTAAAGATGTCTCTGCATACCACCATCAGAACTGGGGACAGATGCCCTCACTTATGTGGAGGAGGAAACCATGCCAAATAGCATTATTGTTTTATCATATTGAGCCTGAAACAGACTTCAATAGGAAACTGCAACTAACAGGAGTCTCACCAAATGGAGACAGGTGCCTGTCTCTGAGAAGGTGGAAGTGGCGTGGGCCAAGGGATGTGCTGGTGGCCACTTCCTGCAGCCCCCATGGGCCTGGAACGGCAAACCGCCACCAGTGGGAGCTGTGATCAGCCAAACCTGCGGCTGCTGCAGGTAAACAAACCGGTCCGACCCGCCAGCGGATTTCCCTGATGGGCCGCGTGCCAAAGGTTGCCGATCCCTGATGTAGGTCAAAATATACAGAGTGAACAAATATTTATTAGTTTCTAGCTTTTATGTTTCCTAGCTATAAAGGTCTACCATAATAAGATAATTGATGTTTTCACGTTATGCTGCCTTGCAACTGCTTAAGTTTCAAGTTTATTAAAATCTCACTTTAATGTGTGTGTGGACAGATGGAAAAAGAGTGAACCTAATGTTTAATCACCCCTCTTATTCCAAGTACAGTTGAAAAGAGTGATTTTCAGTTACATAATACTTTAAGCCTCAGTTTGGCTATGTTATAACACCCGTCAAGGTATATAGTATGGTGCTGCACTGGTAAGTCTTGTTATAAAACATTTATTGGCCTAGCAATTTGGAAAATGGTTATTAAAGCTCAGAAAAGATACATTTTAGATACCAAACAACCATAACCATTGTATATGGGTCCTACTGCTTATGACATTAGCAGGCAATGAGAAACAAATGAATTATAAAAGCAACTGAAATAAGCAACTGAAACTGATATTTTAAGAATAGCTACATTGTTGAGCTCTTTCATTAAATTAAAATATTTGGGACATGACATAAGTCCCTGCAAATGTTTGCTTCACCCTGAAACAATTATTCCTTATAAAGCTTAAAAATGAATTACAGCTAGAGCCACTAATGGCAGTAAGCAGGTGTTCCAATAATTTTAATTCTACAAAATGTTTGTAGAGTGGAGAATAGTCAACTGTTTACAGCATCTGAATTTAAATCACCTTTAAAATTTGCTTAACACTGAGCAGCTTGAGAAGATTCTCTTCATTCATATCAAATGAATGAGGGATTCTAGAACAGCCTAGCAAGTCAGGATGAAGAAGAGTAGAGTGTTGCCAATAAACGACCACATGCAGTTCCATTTACCTTGTAATGCAATCGTGTTCTATTATGGAGTTTGATATAAACAGTTTTAAAAGTTTATGTAAGTGGGAGTCAACCTAGCTACTTGTAAAATTATTTGCCCTGTGTTTGGCTTCAAGTCTGCCTCCTAGACAAACTAGTAGCAAATACAGTCAGAGAACTGGTAAGAATCAAGTATGTTTCAGAGATGAGGCATTCAGTGTGGTCAGTGTAAGCGGAAGGACCTGAGCTGCATTCCTCTTACTGTATGGCTATTGGAGATCCATAAGTAACTTGACGGAGGTCATGAGCAGTTTTGGAAAAGGATGCTTGCCTGCTCGTGTTGAAGTTTTGTAGCAGCTGCTAGATAAGTAAAATGAAATGGAAAAACCCATGAACTACTATTCCACTCAAACTAACCTTATTAAATAGGATTTTGGCAGCCAGCAAATGTACATACAAAATAAAGTAACTCAAATACATAGTATATTCAGTTCAAATACTTCTAGCTGGCAGAGCCAGTTCTTTCCTCGGTAAACTCAAATGACTCAATTTCATTAAAGGGAGAAACTTTATGCACTTGAGAACTGGATAGAAGGATAGAAAAACATTAAGCTCATTTTTAAAAATAGAACTCTTTCTTTGAAACCAAAAGTTGTTGTTACATATAGTGAGATTTTGTCTAAGGATTAAAACTTATTCATTAATGTATAGCACATCATATAATTTAATTACTTTAATGTCATTTTCTACAGAGCAATATAGTTAATTCAGTATCATCGATATTGACCTTATACACATACAAGATTGAAGCCATGTCCTCCTCTGCTTACTGCCAAGTACAAAACAGCTTAAATAGGCTAAAAAGCTACAATCACATACAACAGTTGTAGCAGATCAATTTTCATGTTGGATCAAGTTTACAGTAGTGGTGTTTTGAACTTGCAAGACCCATACAGATGATACCACACAAAAACAGTTGTGCAAACTCAGGCGCAGGAGGAAGAAAAAACTACCTCCTTTTTCCAGCACCACTTTTCCCTGTTTTACTGCTCCCACTGCCAGACTTGCTGGAAGATTTTGAAGAGAAAAGTCTTGTCATGAATTCAGAGACATCGGGCAGTTCATGGTTGGAATTTAGCATATTCATTGACTGCTCCATTTCCTGCACACAAAAATCAGACAATCTAAGTGTAAACTATTGACTATTTAAGGCTGTTTCTGTAACATCAGTTGAACAGGCACATTAAGTAGCTTTGCAATTTCCTCGATTGTGTTGCTATGCACTAGTTCTCTAGTGAGCACATCACTATTAAGATAATTTATTTGTGCAACCACAGCCAAACCCCAAACTACACAAAGAAACTTAAAAAAAAAAAAAAAATACTAAAAGCACTCAGTATAGCCAAGGCAACCATGTCTCAAGTAGCCTTACAGGGCAGATACTTATTATATAAAAACTATCAATTTTTCAAAGCTAACTGTAGCTAAGATACACTGATCCTCTGCACAATACTATTTTGACTTGTCTTAAGATTTAAGCTCTTTAGATTTTAAGATCAATGTCCTCTTCTAGACTTTACATATTTTTAAGTTTTGCAGATTTGGCCCAAAGGTTTAGAAAGGTTTAGTATTTACTGCACATCCAGCAGAAATGTTTAGAATTTCTTACATAGCTACCAATTACTGAACAGCTAGTTTACAGCTCTGATCCACTGCCTTAATGTCTTCCTTTTCTATGTGCAGAAAAGGATCTTAATGTGAGGACATCTATCCATCTATGCTTACCATAGCTTTAGATAGTTTAGCATAAATATCCTTTCATTTTGAAAGACAAACAAGTTATCTTTTTAGAAAAGGAAATTAAGTATTTTATTAATAAAAGTTAAATTACTTTTCCAAAGTTCTATAACTTTTTAGTTATATTTTTATTATACATGAGGGACAGGAAGGCAATGCCAACATTCAGAATTGTCTTATAATTCCAAGTGTTTTTCAAGTAAGAACTAGCCAAAAGTTAGCTGGGTAGCCTATTGATATTATAACTATCTTTAATACTTATACAAGTGCACAACTATTACCTCAGCTTTATATATTAGGTATCAATATGCTGATCACCCAAAGAAAACAAAACAAGCTGTTGAAGAGTGTAGTAAAAGCTCCTTTTTCATAAGTGAATGAGTTTTAGGTTTATACTGCAGGGTTTAATACGTAGCCACCTAAGGCAATGTCATTTTCCATTTTATTCTAGCTCTTAGATTTTAACTCTTTCCCATTCCTCCAAGATCATCTCAATGCCAATCAAGATTCTTTCAACTTTGAATTTTTTTATTAACAAGCCAAATCACCCAGTTAACTAAAAGATGAGAGTAGCTTCTCTGTCCAGAGCAGTGGATGAGTGCATGCACTTCATAAAGAACAACAGGGTTTTTTTTGTTTGTTTTTTTTGCTGTTTTGGCTTTTTTCTAAAACAGCCTCTAGGATTTAACCCACTTCAACAGCATTTCATAGGTAGTTGGTCTACTTTCAAGTTTTAGCTTCTATCAAAGTTAAACCAGAGGCATTAAACACCTTCTGATTTTTGCTTTTAATAGGTACCACTTTAAAGAGGGCTGGACACCTGCAAAGTACTACTAAAGACAGTGGTTTCTGAGAAAGGAGTTGGAACCAACTGAATCCCAAAAGAAGCAGCCACCCAAGGACAGACAATGAACATTTCTAGATAGTAGAAAAGATTTAGTAAACACCTTGAATCTCCATTTTGTCCTAGCTTTCCGCTATTTGGCATTTTGCATGGTAAAAGGACAATAAATTAGGATCATTTAAAAATAAATGGCTACATTAAGGCTCCATAACACCACTGTGACACCAGGAGTAGTTAATAGCCCAGTAAACCATACATTTTTAGTGGTGGCACAGGAGGGGAAGAGAACACTAAGTCTTATGCCTCACAACACACCTAGAGGAGTCCATAAATAGTATACAAAAGCAAGCCCTGTTGGGTCTTCAATGCTTTATTTTAACAGTAAAGAGTAAAAATTAGGAGATTTTCAAGAGAACTAGGTGGAGAGAGATTAGGGCATTAATTGCTTTTTGCAGGCAGTCTGGAAAATATCAGACCATAATACAATTCATAGCAGTACATAATTAAATTAAACTCTGTGTTCTGACCCAAGTGCAGGCTTATAGAACTGATACCAGAACCCAATAATGATATTTGCAACTCAGGCCTCGTCTACACTACTGGGGTAAGTCAACTTACGTTACGCTACTCCAACTACATGAATAATGTAGCTGGAGACGACGTAGCTTGGGTTGACTTACTGCGGTGTCTACACCGTGCTGCGTCAATGGGAGATGCTCTCCCGTCTTATTTGACCGGAGAGTGCTCTGCGGTCAATTTTGCAAGTCTTCACGAGACCTGCTAAATCGATACTCGCTGCATTGATGGTAGCTGCATTGATCTTTGGTAAGTGTAGACATGGCCTCAGTTTTCACTGAATGAAGACAGCTGTCTATTAGTGCGTCCCATAAGGCAACTTTCAGTTTGTACTGTGTTTCTTTTTTGTAACTTAATATCTCATCACCATTGTTTGCTACAAATTTGGAATCCACTAATGTTTTTGATATCCACTCGTAATGAGCATACATACCCGTCTCATGTCAGGATCACTGGTGTTGACAACTTTAGGCAGCAATACAAATATCAGTAATGGAAGAACCATCATCATAACCTAAACAAAAGAGAGAAATTCAAAGAACATTTCCTTAGTTTGAGTCATTGCTCAAAATATTTTAAGAAAGACTTCAGTAAGCAGGAAGACATCTGACATTGAACACCTGAGAGTGAAGATTCAGTCTTAGTTGGAAATCCATATTCCAAAACTACTGAAGATTTGGCTCAGTAATCTAGTAGTTCTATAAGGGGCCAAGTAGGAGAGTTCAGTTTAAATTCTGGAGTTGGTGATTCATTGGCAAAGAATGGAATGTTTCAAATGGAATATTGCTAAAGCCTTCAACCCTGATTGCTACAATAAAGCAGTGTACTCTTGGAGTGTGGAGGGCAACAAAAACCATCATGAATTTTAAAGGCAACTGACCATGGGGAAGTTCCAGTGGATATAGCCCAGGGATTGGCAACCTTTGGCATGCGATTCGCCAGGGTAAGCACCCTGGTGGGCCGGGCCGGTTTGTTTACCTGCCGCATCCGCAGGTTTGGCCGATCGCGGCTCCCACCCCTCAGCTCGCGCCGCTTCCCGCAGCCCCCAGTGGGAGCCGCGATCGGCCGAACCTGCGGACGCAACAGGTAAACAAACCGGCCCAGCCCGCCAGGGTGCTTACCCTGGCGAGTCGCGTGCCAAAGGTTGCCAATCCCTGATATAGCCTGAAGGGATGCGTGTGTGGGGAAGAGGAGGCTACAAAAAAAACTCATTTATTGAAAGGGCAAAAACTGAAATGAAACTATAGTTGTTTTTTCCCCAAAATTCTATCAGATTAATCTTTCAGATACACTTGAGCAGGAAGCCCAAGAGATGGATGTATGTCAACTCGGATCCTACCTACACCTTTTTTGGGGTGTGTGCACATTTGGTGTGAAGTTTTTAACATAAGTGAAAAGTTGGCTAATAAACGGACTGTAGTTGGGAGACTGTAAAAAGGTAAGAAATAAACAAGAGAGAAACATGTCAATTTTTAAAACTCATCACCTCCTAGAAAAGGGGTCATTAGGATCTGTGACCTGTTCCATGGTAGAGAAACCCAACAAAATGGAGTTTCAGGGAATCACAGCTCATTCCCATCAGCAGTTCTGTAGCAAATAAAAGACTTCATTTTCCTGAAAAGTTATTTCAGTGTTTTAAGACAGTCACAGAATCGGATTTACTGATATGTACACTGCCACATTACAGGTCACTAGGGAGGTACATAACTAAGGATTCTCAGCAGAACTGCAAAGAATTTAAATAAACTTTAGACAGCAAGGTTAGAGTGCATGCCAAGTATATAAAATGGTTGAGCTCTGAGATTCTTTAGAGACTGAATTTAAAAGAGAAGTGGATTCCTGAAACACTGGAAGCACATCTTTTGCCAGGTTCTGTTTGTCATAATTCAGAAAGAACTCTGCTTATGAAAAGATCTGCAGGCCTAAAAGTAATCCAGACAGTACTAATTAGCTTAAATTTAAATCTACAGTCAACATCCCTTGAGGAGCAAAAGCAGCAACATGTGTGTGATGGTGGGTGTGTCTTGTATTTCCCTTAGTACCCTCCTATTCTGCTGAAGCATGGGAACCCTCTGGGACATTAAAAATATCTAAAAGGATTTTGGTTGGGATTTGTCCTTTTTCCTGCTAGACTAATGATGATTAACCCAGGATATAACACAATAACCTAAAGATTTATTTATTTATACATAGACACACTATACATATATAGTGTCTTGTTTTGAAACTTGAAGACACTGTTTAGTCACCAAATTAGTTGTACAAAATTTAATATTGCAGTTACATGTGCTTTGCAATGGATGCAGATACTTAAGCTATGGGTTTTCCCATCTTAGACTATTCCAAGTCTTAATTCTTTTAAAACTCTATTAAGCATCCTGAGCATAGTGCACATACACAGCTTTGTTTATATTTGGGACTAACATTAAGAGGAGTAGTGTGCATTTTGGTTCTTCTGATTTGAAGACTGTTTAAAAAACAAGGCTATGAAATTAAAATAATCACATTTACAACTATAACATTGTCCAAGACAAGAAAAGATTAGTACCTAGAGAGCCATAGCATTCCTTTAACCTATTTTAATACAAAAATGAATGATTCAGTGTTTAGGATGCATCATATTTTCATATATTTGCCTATGATCTCCCCCTAGATTGTGATTTTGTTCTCTGCATGTTAGATTTTAATATGTTCTCATATTCTAATTTAAAAAGTGTAAAGAAAAGAAATAATGCTTTCATGATTTGAACTGGGAAAACAGCAGACTGCTTGATACAACAGGAGATTAATATTTTACTGTGAAAACTCATCATCTGTATTGGTTATTTGCAATTACAGTTATGCTTAATGCTGCAATGCCTGCTCTTATTAATGAAAAAAGCAGCAAAAGAATCTTGCTGCTGGCTGAGAAGGTGACACTTGAAGTCAATGTTGCATCACCACCCCACTGGCTTCATCCAATTACCAGTAATAAGCATTTTCCAACAACCATAAGCCTGCAATTGCTGTTCGGCTGGTGTAACCATTCATCTCTAGAGATGCCTCTTTTCCTATCAACAATATATCTGAAAACAAGTTTGTTTTACTGAGATTTGCAAACTGATTATGTATTTTCTCTATTTCCACAAGTACCAAGAATTAATTTTTTTCTTTGCTTGGCGTTCCAACTGCAATGGATGGATGCTACCCTAAATCCACTCTTAAAAAGCTTTAAGGTAAAATCAGCAGCAAATAGATTTGTGTGCTGCATCTATACATACCATAGGGTTCATTAGAAAGTCTGTCCATCCCCAAGACTCTCTCTTTATGAAGTAAGAAGGGGGTCCAGAAGATTTCATCTGAAGCGGGTATGGCAGCCTGACTACTTCTGACGTTTTGATGTAATTCACATATCTTGCTCTAGTGAAAAAATAAGTATTTTTAAAGCATTTTTAAAACCCTCCCCTCTAACTTGACAAATCCTTATTTAATATTCCCTCTAGTCAAAGCTTGTTACAAGACCACAAACTTAACAAGCTGCTACATGAAAGTGTGAACCACAGAAGACATTTGTCCAGATGTTACTCTTTAAGCAATACCCATCATCCCATCCACAAAGAATATCCCCTCTAATCAATTACGGTAAAATGTAAAATTTAAAGTAGGCAGGTAAGAGGGGGAAAAAAAAGATCAGAAACAGTAGAACCATTTGTTGGAAAGTGGTTGATGAAGAACTATTTGTGTTAACACATTAGTGCTGGTCAGAAAAAATTAGTCAGCTAACTTTACCATGAGACAATTTGATTAATGCTTCAGAAAAAATTCAGCTCTGATTCCAAGGTCTTCTTCAATACAGTTATGGAGATCTCAGTAACCAGCTAACTGGTAAACTTGGCTTGTTAAGTATAACTGGAAGAACACATTCTTCTGGGTACTCATCATAATCAGGTCAAATATGGATTATGTTAACAATTTCTGAAGTGTTTGCTTAACCCCCCTCCCCGTGCCGGGAAACAAGTACATTACATTCACCAAAGCTCATTTTCAAGTCTGGCATTCGACAGGAACAAATATTGGAACAATCTAATTCAGTGATACTCAGACCTCAGCGGTTCAGGAGCCAAATTAGCAATCAACATTACCCAAAAGAGCCACAGTAGGGTGAATTCATTGTTTAAATATAAATGTACAGTACTATAGTAAATGAAACAGTATGACAGGGGAAATATTTATATTGTATCATATGTATTTTATTCTCACAGCAAAATGATTGACCAAGTATTATTTTACCAACTACAACTGATTAATAACATAATAAAAGCATCCTGATTGGTTAATAGTTAAATCACACAGTGTTTTAATATCATGTAATGCAAAGAGCTACAGGAGACACATTAAAAGAGCCACTTGCGCCCGAGCCTCTGTCTGAGTACCACAGATTCTAATTACATCTAACAAACAAATAGCCCCACCTCAACTCGGGATTCCTTTTTTAAAATACTTTACATTTTTAAAAGTAAAATATGTCATGGTTGTTAATAGGATGAGACATCTAATGAGATTGTAGGTTTAAGTCTTCAAAGTTTGGTAACAAAATCTTGAACTATTATGGGGCGTTATTCCAATAAGACAGACAACATTAAGTAATTGAATGCAAAGACTCAGTTAATGCAATATTCAATTTGAAATGTTAATCTTTCAGAACCAGAAAAATAAGCATTTCAGTTCCCATAGGCACCTTTATTCCGCCTCTTGTGCTTATCACTTATAACAGGATTTTCCATCGTATGATCACTTAACACGTGAAGCTAAAGATGCTACATATGCATATAAATTAAAGAAAAAGTGCAATTTAAACACGTTTATTTCATCTTACTAGTTCAAATAAATCCCTCTTATTGGACAGGATAGCTATTTCTTTGTACTATTTGCTGAATAGTGTACAATAATGTACAGCTGTGTATTAGGCTATGTCTACACTACACAGTTTTTAGTGACACAACTGTGCAGCTAAAAGGTGCGCAGTGTAGCCGCTGTTTGTCGGCAGGAGCAAGCTATTCACACCGGTGCTTGTCATCAACAAAACTTTTGTCTTTTGGGGGGTTGTTTTTTCAACACCTCTGAACAACAAAAGTTTTATCTTTCACTTGCCAGTGTGTACTAAGACACCCTACAGCAGGGGTGGCCAACCTGTGGCTCCGAAGCCACATGCGGCTCTTCAGAAGTTAATATGTGGCTCCTTGTATAGGCACCGACTCCGGGGCTGGAGCTACACGCACCAACTTTCCAATGTGCTGGGGGGGTGCTCACTGCTCAAGCCCTGGCTCTGTCATGGGCCCTTCCCCCACTCCACCCCTTCCCGCCCGATCCCCATAGCCTGCCGTGCCCTCACTCTTCCCCCTCCCTCCCCCCCCCAGCCTCCTGCATGCCATGAAACAGCTGATCGAAACAGCTGGGTAGGGAGGGGAAGGCAGGGAGGGACGGGGAGGCGCTGATCAGCAGGGCTGCTGGTGGGTGGGAGGCGCTGGGAGTGGGGAAGCTGATGAGGGGCTGCTGACGTACACCTCTACCCCGTAGAACGCGACCCGATATAACACGAATTCGGATATAATGCGGTAAAGCAATGGGGAGCCCCGGGCCCTTTAAAGCGCTACCTGAGCCCCGCTGCTTTACCACATTATATCCGAATTCGTGTGGAGCCCCATGCCCTTTAAATCACCACCTGAGCCCGGGCCAGAGGCTCCAGCCGCTGCAGGGAGCCCCGGGCCCTTTAAATCCCCGCCCGAGCCCCGCTGCCAGAGCTCCGGCGGTGATTTAAAGGGACCAGGGCTCCCCACAGCAGCTGGAGCCCCAGGCCCTTTAAATCCCCGCCGGGGCTCCGGCAGCCGGGCTCGGGCTGTGATTTAAAGGGCCAGAGGCTCCAGCCGCTGCGGGGAGCCCCGGGCCCTTTAAATCCCCACCCGAGCCCCGCTGCCAGAGCTCCGGTGGTGATTTAAAGGGCCCGGGCTCCCTGGGGAAGCCGGTCCAGTCCGGCATGCCGCACCAGCCCGAACTGGATATAACGCGGTCTCACCTATAAGGCGGTGAGATTTTTTGGCTCCCGAGGACCGCGTTATATCGGGGTAGAGGTGTATTACTGTGGCTCTTTGGCAATGTACATTGGTAAATTCTGGCTCCTTCTCAGGCTGGCCACCCCCGCCTTACTGTAATGCACACAAAGGACACAGCTAAAGTTGCTGTGGATGAGGCAAGCACAGACAAACAGTACAGGGATCTGTGCCATGGTCTAGTAAAAGCACTTCAGAATTTAGGAACAAGTACGGCCCTTCATTCTCCATACTAACATGGCAACGTGCTCCACTCCTGGAATAAGGATGTGCATTTACTTTAGGCTGACTGAAGGAGAATGAACAAAATATCACAGAGAGATTCCAGGGACAGAGAGACGGAGACCATCTTCCTGACTCAGAGAGAAAGTAACCAACCAAGAGAAAGGGGTTACAGACTAAAAATGGAAAGAAAAGAATCTCAGGAGACCTCTGAAAGCCTCTCAAAAAAGAAAGGAAGTAGAGGTTTTAGGGGCAGATTTTCTTTCACGTTGCCTGCTATCAACCCAATAAATTATTGAAGTGGTGAAAGGAAACAAAACTCTTCCAAATCTTTTCCATTCACTCATGTTAAAGTTGTAAGAATAGGGAGGAAAAAAAACAAAAACAAAATAAAGCTAAGCCTTTGAACCTAAATTTCCATCTATAAATAACTTTTGAAAAAAAGAGATAAACAATTGAAACCTAAGGTCTAAAATGGAAGTACCAACCCTGTCCTAACTACAGTGAGTTCGAGCAACACTAATACTGCACTATCAGCCATATTAAATTGGTTTAAATGGATCGATGCAGAAATAATCTGAAGGCCTCACCTCATTTTGCCTTTTGAAGTTATGTCCACTCGAACTGGTTCAAACCTATAAGCTGGGGATATAACTTCTACGACGTAAGATCCAGAAGGTATATCATGAACCACAAAACTTCCATCTGTCCTGAGGAAAGAAAATAAAGATTCATCACGCTTCAATATACAAGAGACTATTACAACTGACTGTTTTTAAAAAGTGGTGTCACCTGATCATTGTCATTCAGGGACATTAAGGAGCAGACTATAAATTTCAATAGATATTATGCAATAGAGGGTCCTGTGGCACCTTTAAGACTTAGTCTTAACTCTTATAATATCTATTAAGACTTAGTCTTAAAGGTGCCACAGGACCCTCTGTTGCTTTTTACAGATTCAGACTAACACGGCTACCCCTCTGATAATAGATATTATAAGAGTTTAGGAAAAAAAGTAACGAAGGAATCACTGATGACATCACAATCAGGTTGCCAGAAATAAATTGGTGGAAGCTTTGCAACTGTCACCAGCTACTAGTACTACCCTGTTTTTGATAGCTACATTACAACATCTGTGGAACAACAGAAGGCAGCTCCCTTTGTCCCTTGCCTGCACAGCCTATCTGACTTCGTGGGGCACTGGGAAGGCTGGACAAGTGAGAAATGTGGTCTCGCTCTACCCATAATTCGGGGGGCGGGGGAGAAGAGAGATTAAGAATACCAGCCAGCCAACGCTCACGACGAACCCTACACTATCAACCCGGGGGGGGGGGGTAGTATGACTTGAGTGAGGGGCGCAGCCACGGGCCAGGCCGCCAAAGCATCAACAGGACCAGCCGGGAAGGCGGCTCGGCAGGGCGCGCTCAGCCTCCGGAGGCCGGCCAAGTGTACCGTGCGGAGGTGTGAGGCGACCCGTGCCGGGGAGGGGTGTTTGCGGCAGGAGCCCGGCGAGCGTCAGCCCAGCCCCTGCTCCCCAGATCGCCCCCTCCCCGCGAAGGGGTGCGACGCCGCTGTGTGTGCGGGGGGCTCCCGCCAGCCCCCCCTGCCAGCGCAGGGAGAGGGCAGGAGAGACCACGGGAGGAGCGATCAACCCGGCGGGGACTAACGGCCCTGCTGACCCCGGCAAGCGGCGGCAGCGCACCCCCGGCCCGGCCCGGCCTCTCCCTGAGCCCCTCCGCCGCTCACTTGAGGAAGCCGACGTGCTCTTCCCCGTCCACCAGCACCCGGGCCGCCGCGATCCAGTCCTGCGGCTTCACCCCGGGCACCACCGCCCGGCCCTCGATTTTAAACCGCTCCCCAGGGCCCGGCCCGCCAGGAGACTCCCCCGCCCCGGCCGCCTCTGAGCCCCACGAGCCGCCGGGCAGCACCGACGCCACCAGCAACAGCAGCACCGAGCGGAGCGGGCCCGGCCAGGCCGCCATCGCAGCAGCAGCCGCCGCTCCCGGTAGTAACGAGGGCGGAGCTAGAGCAAGTGGGAGCGCAACGGCCGCCTCTCTCAGCGCATGCACCGAACAGGGCAATGGAGTTCAACGCATGCGCAAAAGAGTGCGGAGGGGGAAGAGGGCGGCCGCGCAGAGCATGCGCAGACAAAAGGACAGCCGATTAACCGGCTGCCAGAGACTGAAACTCACAGCGCATGCGCCAGAGGAACGCCGTTGAGAACGAAGCGAGCCTGCGAGTCACGTGGCGGAGGACAGGCTCTGGAGGGGTGAAACGATTGGCCGTGACGGTTACCGAGGCGGAAGTGTTGACGTTGCTGTGCTGGCATGAGGTGGGTTTGTGGTGGGTGGGGTTCCTGTATCAGACATGGATGGTCGCAGAGCGTGGACGTGACCCTACTTGTGTCGTCATCAGGCCCTTTTAAAGCTCGGCCAGGCATGCTCAGGGTGGCTCAAATAGGGTGCGTCACGGACAGCGCCACGTAATGGCTGAACCTCGCAATACTAGTCCACTTTTCACATCCCGCTAGTACCTCTCCCCCCCCCAGGTGTGTCCCAACCGTTGACAGTGTTTACACTATCAGGCTGTGGCTGAAGTTCAGTAGGCTCGGTCAGTTAAGGGTATTACACGGCCGTAATGCATAACGCTTGGTTACCTGGCTGGGGTCAGGCTGGAATCCTTGAGTTCTCCCGTTCAGCATCTGCCCTCTGTAGAGTCGTTGGTGGTTCTTTCTGACTGAACACGCTGCGGATGTCGATGTTGAACTCGCCATCATGTCTGATCTGGGCACTGAATTCCTTTTCTTTCTGACAGCTGGAGTGGCCCATCCTTTTTCTCCATTCAGTTTGCCATGAGCACAGAGACCAGTTTCTAGACCTGGCAGTTGTCTAACTGAGTGACGTCTCTTGTAAGAGTGTTCATAACATAGTCAGTTAAACATTTTCTTTGGCTAATGGAATTTGCCAGAATCCTCTCGAGGCATCCAGTTTGGAGCATACTGTAGCTTCTTTCACTTTGGGGAGGAAGTTTTCAGGTGTTGGGAGGATATATGTATGACTCTCGCAACTGCTTCATTATGTCTTTTATTATCCACACAGATTCATATTTTTCCATTTTTCTTTGTAAGTGGTACCACTGGGGCACACCACGTGGTTGTTGGCTCAGAGATTTTCTTGATTATGCAAATCCACTCCATTCTCCTTAACTAAGGTTCCACTTTATGAAGTAATGGGATAGGAATCCTGTGAAGTGTATGTACACTATATGGTTTAGCATTCTCTCTTAAGGTTAACAAATTCCCCCAACCTAAAGCAAATACTCACCAGCAACCACACATCGCTGAACAAAAACACTGACCCAGGAACCTATCCTTGTAACAAAGCCCGATGCCAACTCTGTCCACATATCTATTCAAGTGACATCATCATAGGGCCTAATCACATCAGCCATACCATCAGGGGCTCGTTCACCTGCACATCTACCAATGTGATATATGCCATCATGTGCCAGCAATGCCCCTCTGCCATGTACATTGGCCAAACTGGACAGTCTCTACGCAAAAGAATTAATGGACAATAATCTGACATCAGGAATCATAATACTCAAAAACCAGTGGGAGAACACTTTAACCTGTCTGGCCATTCAATGACAGACCTGCGGGTGGCTATCTTACAACAGAAAAACTTCAAAAACAGACTCCAACGAGAGACTGCTGAGCTGGAATTGATATGCAAACTAGACACAATCAACTCAGGATTGAATAAGGACTGGGAATGGCTGAGCCATTACAAACATTGAATCTATCTCCCCTTGTAAGTATTCTCACACTTCTTATCAAACTGTCTGTACTGAGCTATCTTGATTATCACTTCAAAAGTTTTTTTCTCTTACTTAATTGGCCTCTCAGAGTTGGTAAGACAATTCCCACCTGTTCATGCTCTCTGTATGTGTGTATATATATCTCCTCAATATATGTTTCACTCTATATGCATCCAAAGAAGTGGGCTGTAGCCCACGAAAGCTTATGCTCTAATAAATTTGTTCGTCTCTAAGGTGCCACAAGTACTCCTGTTCTTTTTGCGGATACAGACTAACACGGCTGCTACTCTGAAACCTCTCTTAAGGTTATTTGTACTGGATCTCCTTTCAAAAGTTCAATATCACCAAATAGTCAATCGAGTTCTTTTACTTTTCTCACTAGGTCTATCGTGGCTGTCATGCTGCATCAGAGAAAGATGTTGGTCTGTGGTCCTTTCATCACATACACTCTGAATGCATAGCTTTTGTCTTTGTACATTGTTTCTGTGGTGAACTGGCCAATGCACATCAGAATAACTCCAGGGCTAGTCAGAGCTGTGTCAGGTGACTTCAGCTCTGGGACAGGTTGAAGATGGTTGTAAGTCCCTTCTGAGATGACTGTGACATCAGCTCCTGACTCAGTTTTAAAGTCAATAGTCTTGCCATGAATATTCAGTCTCTCTCCCCAGGCAAGCTCTCTGTCATCACAAATGATAGATCCCAGAAAGAATGGCTCCTGATTGTCTGTAATATGAATCAACTAGCTGACTACTTTGGTGAGGTAAACAACTGCAAAATGTCCATATTTTGAGCATTTATTACACCATGTGCCTCTGGCTAGACATGCATTATCTCTTGGGATATAAATTTTTTCTTCAAACCTGAAGAAGAGCTCTGTGTAAGCTAAAAAGCTTGTCTCTGTCATCAATCCAAGTTGGTCCAATAAAATATATTACCTTACTCACCTTGTCTCTCTAATATCTTGTAGCCAACACAGCTACAACACTGCATACAAGTATTATGTTGTTCAAAGAGGATTAACCTGTCAATGACAAAATCTGACATTACATGAAAACACCATGTTTCATTAAAGCATCATTTTGAAATCTGATGACACAGTGTGGTCCATGCAACTGATTTTGGGACTCCCAGAATTGTCCTACAGGCAGTGTTTATGAGATGTGGGTTCTATAAATTTAGCACACTTAGACAAAAGTGGGAAGAACTAGTAATTCCAATGACTGACAACTTTGTTCCATCAGATAAACTCTTAAAAGATAACACTCCAGAACTTCAGTGCTGACCAAACCTGGGAAATAAGGGCAGATCCATTTTAGCCAGTTATAACTGTCAAGCAAGCACATGGGCTGAGGGACTCCAGGCCAAGATAAAGAAAGGCTTTATAAAGTACTACTGATAACTTTAATTTGTATCTTTTGGTGTATTGGGAGGCAGTGTAGTTTGATGAGAACTGGCACAAATTTACACCCATCCTTCTCTCCGGAGGAGAAAGTGTGCAGCTGCATTTTTCATTATTCATAGCCCCTGAATCAGTTTAAAGAGAAACCCACTTAGGAGTGCATTGCAGTGGCCTAGGATGTAACAAAGACATTAATGACCATGTTGGAGTTTCCATGTGAGAAAAATTATCAATTTTTCCTGATTAAACTGGAAATGTTTCTAACTCCTCTTGATCACTGTTTTGTGGGCCTTTATGTTGAGAGCAGTCAAGAGTGACCTCCAAATTCTACCCTGGTCTTATCAGTGAGGGATGCACTCTCTGGATAACAGACATACAAACTGCCAACAAGCTGCTCCAAAGGCTTCTCCAACTCACCAGTATATCCTCAGTCTTGTCTGATTGAGTCTTTTCAACCAGCTGTTGCTCATTCAATAAACTGTCAGCTAGAAAGTCTGATAATCATCTGACAGTCTATAATCAGGAGGCATAGAATAATGTAATATTAGCATTCTGACAATACTGCAATCCGAATCTCCATATTTTTGCCTCTATCAGTCTAATACACAGATTGAACAGCAGAGGGACTAATGAAATATACAAACGTAAGAATGGCTATACTGAGTCAGACCAATGGTCTATCTAGCCCAGTATCCTGTTTTCTGACAGTGGCCGGTGCCAGATGCTTCAGAAGGAATGAACAGAACAGGGTCCTTTATCGATTGATCCACCCCATCACCCAGTCCCAGCTTCTGGCAGGTACAGGTTTAGGGACACCTGGAGAATGGGGTTGCATCTCTGACCATCTTGGTTAATAGTCATTGGTGGACCTATCTTCCATGAACTTATCTAATTCCTTTTTAAACCCAGTTATACCTTTGGCCTTCACAACATCCCCTGGCAACCAGTTCCACAGGTTGATTGTGTGTTGTGTAAAGAAATAGTTCCTGATGTTTGTTTTAAACCTGCCTATTAATTTCATTGGGTGACCCCTGGTTCTGGTGTTATGTGAAGGGGTAAATAACACTTCCTTATTCATTTTCTCTACACCACTCATGATTTTATAGACCTCTATCATATCTCCCCTCAATTGTCTCTTTTCAAAGATTATTAGTCCCAGACTTTTTAAACTCTCCTCGTACCCCTAATCACTCGGACATCCCAGAATGCAACATCAAAATAGTCTTTATAGGTCATGAAATCCATATTATTTATGGGATACTGTTGATGAACCAAGAAGTCCCAAGAGTCCTTCACAAGGGGAAAAATAGTATACAAAAAACAATTTATTTCTGTGCTGAATGTTCTTTGCAACCTGGTTAGTAGTAACATTTGCCACATAAATCTGGACTTAATTTTCATTTGTCGCTTGCAGTTCACCTTTAATCAAGCAGTTATTTTTTTAATTCACTTCCAGACTTTTAAGTGCAATAACTCCAAATACCTCTTTATGAAAGGACAAGCAGCCAACAGCCTAACCCTCCTTGAGTTGACTCCCAAATAGTTTGTTTATACCGAGAAACAGCATCTAAGCTGTTTGACAAAGAAATCCAAGTAACCACTTTTGGGTCATGAATATTCATCAGAAATGATGACCCAGGACTGATAAACCAGATCAGACATACTTTTGCATAGAAATTCATGTACAGTCACCCTAGAAATATGAAGAAAAACTAAAACATTAACTATCGGCTCTTAATCGAAAGTAAAAGTGGCAGTCCATTAAATGCTCAAATCCTACCACAGGAAAAGGGTAGTTACTGTGATTTTTTGACAATTAAAATACAGTTCTGCGTCCATGTCATCTCATACAT